TGGTATGAGCAATGTGCAATAATGCCAGCTGTGATTGTGCTGCTAAGGTGCCTTTCATCCCAAAGAGCCATGTGGTTATCAGTAAGGCAGGCCTCACAGTGCCCCTTTGACAGGCGTTAATTCTGTCAGACCTACTTTATGAGAAATTGATCTGAACAAAGGGGAAATTACTTGTCTAAACAAACAGTAGTGAAGAAGGAATAGTGTTTGAGGTATTGTAACCTCCAGCCCCTGATTCCAAACCTATCAGGCTGTTAGATCCCTGGGCAAAGCACACTGTGTGTCACACTTGAGAGCATCCTGCCAACTTTTACAAGTCACTTGTTATGATACCATCTAGCTATCATAACAAGTGTATTAAGATCCACCCATTAACATATTTCTTTTGTTGGCTTTATACAATTTTTTTTTTTAAACAAGCAAAATCCAGACCTACTTGTAAATGTTCCTGGTAATGCTTCAGTTTTTTACAGTAAAAACTGGAAGTAAAAAGAAAAAAAGGAAAAGAAAAAGGGTGTCAGAGAAGTTTTAACTTCAGCTTCCAGGCAATAGACACTAGAAGTGTCAGAGCCTATACAACCTTGCTGTGTCAGGAGTACTCAGAGTCACTAAAAGGTAGAAGAACTAAATACCATTAGAAAGCAAAAAATAAATTTAAAAAAGACACAATAACTTGTGTGAAATGGGGCATCTTTTGAGATTCTGGCCTGGAGCCTGAGTGAAAAAAAATCACATCTGGTTAATCTTAGCGGGTTTCTGTGGTAGGCCTGATTTGACTGGGGGGAGGATGGAACTGCTAGCAAAACAGAAGACTGTGTTCATTGAGTTACACTGGAGTTTAGGATGTCTCAGAAACCAAGATCTTTTCTTTTTTTTTCTTTTTTTCTTTTTTTTTTTTTTTTTTTTTTTTTTTTTTGAAGTATATTCTGCTCCCCACTGTGATCACTGCCTCTGAGCATCATTTTCCTTCCTTGACAGGAAACACCAGTCTGTCATGACCTGAAAGTTCCTTGTCTTCTCTTGACATGCTTGAGAATTCACAGGCTTCTGTCATACCATCCCTTCCTCTCCTGAAAACGATGGCATGTGGCAGCTGTCTTACTCTGAGAACAAGCCTGGTGTTCAGTCTCCATTAATAAATACTCACCTTGCACCTAATGCTAAAATAACAGCTTACTGTGATCCCCTGTTAGATTACTGCTGCTCTGTACCTTCTTTGTGGAGGCTGCAACTTTTTCACATCAGGTTATAAAGCAACCTGCCTATGTGCTGTCCTTGGAAACAGATGCACATCCATGGTATTAATATCTATAATTAAGAGCAGTTTCATAAAGGCAAAAAACCCTCTGCTTTTGGTTGGTTTTTTTTGCTTTTTGAAGAATGAGTTACATCAAGATTTGTCCAAATCACATCTTTAGCAGCCAAAGTGTGTGTTAGACCATCTGCATTGTTCAAATAGGGGAAAACAAACATAAATTAACTGTGATTAATTAAGGAAAAATACCAAAATTCTTACTCAAACATGAGGATTGTTCTGACTGTCAATAGAAAGTAGTTTGTAAAAAGGAGCTTAAAGGTGGGGTTTAGTTAGCCTTTTTTACGTTTTTATTATGGCTTAGTGATGTTAGTACAATAATGTCATTAAAATGACTGTAATTACATATTTGGATTTTGGAAAACAAGTAACAAATATGGCTGTGGGTTCATGGATGATCATTGAGTTCATCTGGTCACATAGGAGATTAGGTCACAAACTAAACAAAAGACCTAATGCTACAAAACTGTAACAAAATTGTGAGTTCAAAAATGCAAATGAGCAAGGTGAACCAAGATAATTGGCCTTTTAGTGTCTCCTTATCAAACAAAAGGTTATTTGTCTTTTAAATGGGCCAGTAAAATAGAATTGGCACCCTACAGTGCATGCAGAAGAGAGAGAGAGTCAAGAAGAAATAAGCAGAGGAGTTCAAGAGATTAAGAGTTTTCAAAACTAGCAGAAGACAGTGTGGAAAAGAGTTAAATCTTGAAGATCTGCAGTGAATACAAATGTGAACAAGGGGAAATCAGACTGGGCAGGGAGGTGCACTTGGCAGAAGACATTGTTGGTAATCCTCCAGGACTTTTAGGAGCTAAAAGTTTGCAAATATCAGGCCAAATCAGAAACTCTCACCTGCGCTGGGATGCTCCATGCAAGCAGCAGCCCCATGTTGGCTGTGAGGTATTATCTGGTGACGGTCCTGGTTCTGGTCAGGTTGTTCACAGACTGATTGGGTATGGTTTTTGCTTGGTTGGTTTGTTTGTTCGGGTTTGGTTTTTTGGGAGGAGGGAGGGATTCACAAATTGAGAACGGACTCTGCGTAAAAGAGCACAATCTGCAATGAAAACAGATAGTTTAATTCAGTGTTTTAAAATAGCCAAGCAAGACAGAATTTTGTCCAAAGGACAAAGACCTTGCACCATTTTCAAACTGTTGACCACTGTGCCTGGGTTCCATATCTCTGAGAACAAGGAAGAGCACAAACTGGAACAGTTCTCAGCAGGTTGTCAGCACAGTGCAGAGGAACTGGTCTATGCTGGAGTGAGCCACTGTCAGTTACTTTTAGCATTGCACCTATTCTCTCTGCTGACTCTGTAGGATGTAGGAACGAGCAGTCCTAATAAAAGCTAATCTCTATTCTTCATTATAGTCCTACACTTACATGGTAGACTTTCCAAGCCCCCTTGTGACTCTCTTTTTTTTTTTTTTCCCCCCCAGATAATGTGTCCTTGTAAATCTGAGAGATTTCAGTGGAGTCACACCTCAAAAGTATTCCTGAGCCTTATACCAATAAGAAATAATGGGCAAATCCAGGATCATTTGAAATACTTTGGGTTTTTAGGGTTAGGAGGCATTTGAGAATATATTTTGTTTGCATTGCAAGAAGGGATGTTTCCTGAAATATTAGCTCTTCTCTGCTTTCTCTGCAGTACAGATCTACATAAAAACCTAGTGAACTAGGCCATTAATAAATATGTAGAAGGAGTGAGGTACTCGCTAAGTGTATGTGAGGACACCCAGCTCTGCTGGCCCCACTTCAGTGAATATTCCCATGGAATTAGAGAGTTTACATGCCTTTGAAATGATTTGGAGACTGCCAGACTTTCTAATGTAGTCTTTATTTTTCCCTTTTTTTCACCTGTAAGTTAATGCCTTTTATTTCTTACTTCAGCAGGTAATTTTTATGGTAGCTTTTCTACTTTATATCGTGCTGGTATATAGTTTAACAAAATACCTTTTGAAACAGAGTATTTAATTCCTCAGTCATGCCTCTGGGAATAAATTCTTGCTGTATTATGATTTTTTTTTATATCTTTTCTCTGCTGTGGTTGAGAACTTCCACAAACTTTTCTTTCGGAAATCACTACTTCTTAATCCCTCTCTGTGCTTGATGTGCTTCTCTCCTGTCTATACCAGCTGTTATTTGCTGCTGGTATCTGTGACTGGTCGTGTCCACTTACAGTGACTTGAACAGTTAAAGAAATTCCTTAATAGCATTTCTGGTTTTGCATCTGGATCTCCAGGAAGAAAATTGCATCACACCTGACTACCTATTTGAGGTGTTATCCATGATGCTGTCAATGAGCTGATATTGTGGAGAATCCTATTTAAAATTACTTCAATAGGCTTTAGTGATTCTGAATGGTAGCATTTATGGTAGGAAATGTTTCATGGTAGTGCTTTCAGAAGTAACGATGCTGTATATTTCTGCATAGAAGTCATGTCTTCTTTACTGGTAGTTGCTTCCCCTTGCTTTTTGCAAAGTTAAATATGCAGTTTTGGCAAAAGTGGTTAATGGGGCTGGTTGAAAATTGTTAAAGCCGGTTCTTGACAAGTAAAATTGTTAATGCTGAATGAACATTTTTCTGGGAAACTTACTTTCATTAGACACCTTGCCCATCCGGAAATGCTTTGATCTAGAAGTGCTGCTATGCTGTAGCATATTTCAGTTGTACAATCTCTATTGTACAACTGGACCAGAACCCCAGTATCTCACATATCAGGCTCCCTTACTATCCCTGATGCAGTCTCCCTCCATGGAAAGAACCCATGATCATAAGAAGTTTGCTCTGTTTCTGCAGAGTTAAACAACAAACTTTTCCCTGCAACTCCCATGAATTTGATCACGTTTATAAATTGAAATACTTTCATTTTTGTCCAAAATGGTCATTGTTCAATCTCTATGAAGTATGGAAAATGAAATGTTTCCCCCAGATAAGTGCACGTGAAACAAAATAGCTTTGACTGCATTTTATTATTTTCTGGTACAGGATGAGTTCCTCAGGACACCAGAATGGTTAATGACTAAAAGCCTCCAGGTTAAGAGATACCAGTTTTCGTCCCATGAAGCAACAATATGTGTTCCTCATTTGTGTTGAGTTTAGAGTCATTAATGAGCCATGCATTTTCCAAATTGCTACTGAAAGATTTTAACACTCAGTTAAGAAGCCACCACAATTTCTCACTGAAAAAGACTAAACACACGTTTCATACAGAGATTTCAGAGTTGTGGACTATAAAGGAGTAAATAATCCAGATTTCTTTGAATCAGATCTGAAGAAACTTGGGGTACCAGGGAAAACTACACCTTAACATCTTGACTTTTAGGCAGACCTGGCGTTTGTTACATAGCTACAAAAAGAGTTCTCAAGGTGCTGCTCAAGGGAGGGAAGGTATTTTATGGACAAGCAATGTAATCCTATGTTTGGTTTTAAAAAATATGGAGAGATTACTGGATTATAACAGTACAGCAGGACAAATTGCAGTCAAAAATGTGGTCAGACCAGCTTAATTGCTACAAAGTTGGTAAAACTCTCACTACACTGAAATCAGTATGTATTATCTCATGAATTCATTCCATCTGGTGCATGATAAGGGAATAATTTCAGGATTTCTTAGCTTACTTCACAAGTTTGTTTGTGTTCATTATATGTCAGATTTTAACACCCCTGTCTCTCTTTGTTAGTCTGTTCGCAGTTTTCCAGAGGAGTTTATGCCATCTTTGGATTCTATGATCAGATGTCAATGAACACACTGACGTCATTTTGTGGAGCGCTTCACACATCCTTCATCACACCCAGCTTCCCGACAGATGCAGATGTGCAGTTTGTCATCCAGATGCGGCCAGCATTAAAAGGAGCCATCTTGAGTCTCTTGACTCATTATAAGTGGGAAAAGTTTGTGTACCTCTATGATACAGAACGGGGTAAGTACCATCATTTAAAGTGATTTTTCTATTTCATAACGTGCTAGAAGTATTACTAGAAACAGTATGTGCAGGCCAACCCAATTTTCTTTTGGATGCAGGTAGGATATTCTGATGGTCCTAGAAAGCAGGTTTATTCTGAAGAAACTAAAATGAAAGGATAAATGAAAAGAAGGCATCTTCATATTACTGATCATTTGTAAAGAGATTGTCTGGAGGAGAGTGTTAGCAGTGTAAACATTCAATTTGGAATACCTGGTTTCCATGGAGCCACAGACTCAACACTTGCCAGGGGTTTTGAGTCTTTGCACAATAAATAAATTTGGCACTATGAATTAGGCTGTTAAGCAAGACCTTCCTCTGTGCGTGACATCACAAATCCCACACCACTTTACATAAATGCACGTTTCTCCTGTCATTGGACAAAGACGCTCTATGCTAACATATACTCTGGAGATGCCTGGGCATCAATAATGATCTAAGAATATAATGCGTAAGATGCTTCAGGGTTCTGCTGGAGAAAAGATGCTCTAGATACGCACATGGATATCCAGAGATGAATTTAAATACATGACAAGAATTACCAGAGATACCTTTTACTAAATGAAAACATATTAAACCCAGTTTTTTCACATTTAAGCCAATTGTTAATGTGAAGAAGCCCCAAAGGTAGCAAATCCTGTCAAAAAGAGATCTAAGCATCAGAAACCATTTTCTGTGAGGAATCTTGTGTATTTCTGTGGAGCATCTGTCACTGCCTGCTCTCAGTGTGCAGAATTTGCTTGGTTACAGATTTCATCTGGGTACCATTTTCTGCATCAGATAGGTGTGCCACTGCCTTTCTCACCGGCTTTATGATTAACAACTCCAAGACTTTCTTCAGATCCAGGGGGTGTGGATAGAGCCAAAGCAGCTTACATTCTATTCCATTACAAAGTTCTGATACCCTAGGCTACTGCGTATTGATAAAGATCAAGTCTTCAGTGGCTGTGCCTTTCACCCAACTAAGGATGTACCCTATGTTAAAATTAGTAATGTTCAATCTGATCTTGCATGACAAGAGTTCAGAGTGATTTCAAGGTGTAAAATATTTCTAGTGTTGAAAAACACTAGCTGTGAGATCAAGTAGGAAAGTATGAGAAGTAAAGAATGTCATTAGTTTTTAAATCTTTTAAAATCACTGGCCAAACATCTGTATTTCTGGTTTACTCCACTTTTAAGTGAAAGCTCCTGTGAATATGCCGTTTGTCTGAGTAGGAATGGTTTGATGTGACCAAATGTGATAAACTTACACAGCATGTGATAAAGTAAAATGTTTTATGTTCAAGGACTGATGATACTTAACATGGTTAAGACTAATAAAGCTTGTTTTGGGTAGCAGTGCATCAGTCATCCAATATCATGCCTAATGAGAAATTTGACACTTCGAACTGGAAGAATCATCCAAAACAGTGGGAGTTTCACTAGAACTTTTCCAGTTGATACAGCTGTCAGTCTAACTGAGATAGTAACAGAAGTGTTGTGGTTTAAGCCCAGCCAGTAAGAAGACTTAAGGGAAGACTTGCAGTCTCAGTGTGTACAATCTTTAAGTAGGCACAGTCTAGTCAAGAGCTTATTATGATGACTAATCTCTTTGGAACAGTTTAGGTTGTGTCTAGGCTTCATTTTGCCTTGTTCACGCTAAGATTTTAATCCTAGGTTAAAACATAGCTCTTGCTGGCAAGATTAGCACCAGGAATCTGACTTTACCCCTGTTGCCTTCTGCCCCTTGTCATGACTTCCTACTCACATCCTACTCGGAATCTTACAGTTACTAACCAAAATCATGTTGTGAACCTACTGTGGCTCACACGCATGTTATGCTAGCTGTATGTTATCTCAGACATTCAGGCTGTCAGAGAGCAAAATCTGAATTAGATGATGGCACGGGTGACTGTAGGATTATAAAATACAGCTCAGGTTTAAAAGATAAAGGACAGCAATGTCTTTAGGATGGAAGAGGTATCAGTGCATATAGGTAGCTTGATGAAGTTGTTTGGAATAAACTTAACCACATCTTAGCTGTCCTTCCTATACGTACATCCTTGTTGCTGTTATTTGGTCACATATTTGCCATCTGCTAAAACAGGAACACAGATGAACAGGGAGAGGCAGGGCAGTTAGGTCCAGAGAAATAGACATTAGATTCCTTTGTTTGATGAGCAGTAGTTGTGAATGACAGCACCTGAAACATTTGGCAGTTCCAGTTGGCTGCCTAATTTCTTGTATTAGGCCTTCAAATACAAAAAAAATATCTCTAAAATTTGAACAATAATAATAGCAAATAACTCCTTGGGTCAGGTACTGAATAGGCTGAACATGTTCCTTTGCTGAGACACCACTGGAAATGAAACCATTAGATGTCACAGTTTTTAATAATTCCTATCTTAGATACTTAATTGCTTTGGGGCACAAACACTGTAGAGAGAAGGTGTTAAGCAGTTTACTGTCAGTTCCTGAAATAAACTGTCATTTAAATACTGCCTTTCTGGGAGTGTTATTACCGCACCGACTTGTTCTAAGAATCTGAGAAATCATAAAACATTAGACTACTCCTTTTTATGTTGAATATTAGTTATGGACTAAATTGTTCTTGCAGTTTTACAGTGTTCTGCTGAAGCAAAACACTGGTGTGTATTCACAATTAATAAAAACCACAGCATATTACAGATGCCATACAGAACTGAATAAGCCTTCTGGTGTTTTTTTTACTGCTTATTGAACTGTTTGAGTTTAAGTTTAGGAGACTGGAAAATCAGCTTTATAAAATTGTTTTCCTTAAGCAGTGGCTCTTTTCTTCTTTGCCATCAAATAATATAATCATATGGTTTCCCACTTGGTGACATTAGGCACAATGCTGTGATGCTTGGCTCCTGCAATGAAGACAAAAGATAAATCTTAAACAATAGAATAAAGTTAAGATCTATAATTACATAGATAGGTGCTGAAGCTTTTGATCCAGTGGGTTATTGTGTATGTTGTATATGTTTATATTTTTAAGTACTTTATTTTCTGTTGCTATGAGATGACTGTTGCAGATCGTGCTCTCAAATGTGTATTTATGTGCAGGTGCAAAATTCAGTTTCTTAAAAACTGCTAAAGCACACAGAAAGAAAGATAAAATGTGAGGTTTATGAATTCCAGCAGCAAGAATTATGTCTTATCATTTTTTATTTCAGTTGCTGGACTTATTTTTCTCTGAAGAAACTGAAATTTAAGGGAAATACCAAATTGCATGTTCTTCTCCTAGTGCCAGCAGGAAAAATAAATTATACTTTACAGAGAATAATGATGCATTAGGAAATGGCTGCTAAGGGAAGGGCGCATATCAGCAATGTATAGAGGAAATAGTCATGTGTTCATTCCATGCCACATGCTTTTAGTTCATGTGAAAGGGAGAGGCAGGGTTGATTTCTATTTGTATTAGCTCACATCAGTAAGTTGACACTGTTGGTTGCTGTGATGCGTGCAAAATATCTGATTAATTACATGGTGCTAACTGCCTCAGTAGGTTTCCCTGCAGTAGAACTAAGACTAATTAAGATTATGTCAGGATGAAATGAGATGGGGTTACATACAGAAAGCTATTAAGAATTTGGGTAGCACTTGTCAGGAAAGTCACCTTTTGCATCTCATGCTGAGGATTATGTTTCTTCAGAAACCTCAGGTTTATTTCCATTTGCCAGGTCTGTTTCTTTTCTTGCTTTCCTTTACTGTAAATCAGATGTTATTCCGCTGAGTCAGTGAACCAGAGTAACACTAGTATGAATGTGTGGAGAGGTAAGCTTGTGGTTTTCATAGTCAATGTTACATGAAAGTGTGAAGTCCTCCTCATTTAATTACAAAAATGGTGTGGTAGATTGTAATACTGAGGCTTTTGTTTGTTTAAATTACCATAAGATTTCTTAAGTAATGTTTCACTTTATTTTTGCCCAAGAAACACTGTTTTTTGCAGATTTTTCACTTTCCAGCTCAGTACAACACAGGCATTTTGTCCTAAGTTGCTTTGATTTGTCATACTTACTATGCACAAAGACATTTAAACAAAATCACACTAACTGGTTTCGTGATGTGCATCAAGTCATCTTCTTCTTCCTTCAGATCATAGGACAGGGAAGTGACTGACACGGTGTAATGCCTTCCTACACAAAGGGAGCTCAGTCGAGACAGAGGTACAGATAGATCACAGTTTTCATGTCATTGTAACCAAATACCTCTCTAAATCTGAAGTTCTTCTGTTAGTTGGTTTTGATCTAGTCTGTCAGTAAGTATCTAGTGAGACCTAAAATATCAGGGTGGGGAGGAGGAAGCTTTAGTAAATAGGGTTATTGTTGTCTGATTCAGTATCCACGTTTTAATCGGTTAACACTGGCTAGATGAAGTCTGAGGCATAGAACTGTTCATATAAAGCCCCAGGTTATGTGGCTGAGAAGAGTTGAAAGTATCTGCTTTAAAAACAATTACATCTTTAATCTTTGCTCATGGCCGGGGGGTTGGAACTAGGTGATCTTAAGGTCCTTTCCAACCCTAACTATTCTATGATTCCTTACTGCCAAAAACCACAAAAAATTGACCTGAATCATGATCGAAAGGGTAAGGATGTAGAAGGGCTGAAAATACAGCTTCAGAAAATATAACCTGTTCTATTCATTTTAGCTATAAAACCTTCTGGTGTCATGTTGTGTAAAGAAATGCCAGGTAAAGAGGAAAGAAAAAAAAAAAGCTACAACTAAGCCTCTTGATGATTAGGCATAAGGCATCAAATTGCCTTAAATTAGGTTTAGTACAAGGCAATCAGGTCTGATTCACTGCTTCTGCTGAAGACAAAGAATAACTCTTCTGTTTAGTTCTGCTTTTACAAAATGAGATTAGTTATCTGTTGCTATCAAAGGACAAGACACTTCTGTACTGCTTTCCCTGGGGAATGAGAGATTGGAGCTGATAAAAGAAGTGGTATGTAG